AATTTCAATACTGCGTAATTTTTTTGTTTGTTTATTTTTTTTTCATAACCCAACACTAAGATTTTTCTGTTCTCTCTTCTTATGGTTTTCATTTCGATGATCAAGGATCTAATGTTGTGCAAAATCAATGATAAAAAAAGTGAATGAGAAAACGAATTTTAGGTTTAGTACAACAGCAGCGTGGCGCAGTGGAAGCGTGCTATCTTACGCGTACACGGAAAAACATGTACACTATACGTACACAATGACATGTACACTGGGCTTATACTAGTACACTAATATTCACAATATGTTGATTGAAAATAATACAAAACAACCAAGCAACAGACGGGGGGGGGGGGTTGTCTGGGGGGGGGGGGGGGGGGGAAATAATACACATGAGCCCATCCAACTTTACACTTTACTTAACAGTATAAATACCAGACAAACCTGCTGTCTGGGATTTTGACTTGCTTGAACCTGACCCTATCTCTATCTCCCTCTATCTCTTCCTCTATACCTTTATATTCTTTATTTTCCCACTCTACTTCTTCATACCGAGATAACTTAAGATGGTTGGTATGTTTACCTATTATGTATTGCTAACTAACATCATCCCTTCCATCATCCGCTACTAACATTGAAACATCTGCCAGGCAGCGGTGGTTACGTATCGGAGAAAATTACCCCAGCTGATGGCGACACTTTTGGCGCAGTGGGTAGTAGGGTGCCCTCGGAATCTAAGGATTGAGGGTACGACTCTGAGTGTAGTCTATCTATTTTGTTTTTTTTTTGTTTTCTTATCATTTTGGTTTTCACGATCACATTAAAGTAAAACATTAAAAGGATACCGATGTAACGGATAAACATAAGGATACTATACTCGTACACTCAATCTTATATATATAAGATAAGACTAAGGATCTGAGATATACATAAGATAAAATAAAAGAGCATGACTATAAGCATTAAAATAAAACATAAAATTAAGATAACTAATAAGCATAACTATAAACTACATGAATAGAGTTACAGTACTCTTCGGTAGTGCAGCTAATTTTGTTAAATCTTCATATAAGGAATTTCTATACAAATAAAAAATAAGTGATTAGAACATTGAATGAAAAAATGTTAAGGATAATGGTCTCCAATCAAAAAAGCGATGCCGAAATTTAGCAATCAAAGGATCAGAGAATGATTAATGAATTTGATGAATAATAGAACTGATTAATTTTTTCACTTCAGTTCATCGAAAAAAAACCTTACAGGGGAACAGAGTATGAGCTAGAATACGAAATGCTCTGCAATATCATTAATTGAAAGTCTTTTTGTTGAAATATATACCATATTTGTCTATTATCGGAAGGTTTAATAAAAACTTGAAGGAAAAAACGTGGAAAATGTTTACTCATCGAGAAAACCATAAATGGACTGACATTCTTGATGATTTAGTTCAGGGATAAGATAATGATTATCACACTTTAGAAAAAATACTCCAACAAAGCCTTCGAAGACAGAAAATGAAAGTATTGTTCATAATAATCTATTCCCAAAAAGAAAAGAAAAGAAAGCTCATTTATTGATAGCAATTAAAACAATAAATACAAGTGAAAAATTGAAAGTGGACAAAAAAAATGTGGCAAAAATCAAGTTTGGGCAAAATGACCGTTGAGCGTCAACCATTTGTAAACTACTGGCGTCTTCTTAATATCAGAAGAAAAACATTAAAATGTTTCTGTCAATGATTTGATCGGTGTTTACAATAAAAACCTTATTCCTCAGCTTCGAATCGTCATTTTCTTTTTGGCCTGTGACAGCTGCATTTGAGAAATATCGATCATTTTTTCTCGGAAATTACTAGTAAAGATTAGTTGAAAGCATTTTTGATAGTTTGGTGTCCCTATCTTCATCGCAGTTATCATACCAATTCGTGGTAACTCTGATTAAAGTTAGATAAATTTATTGACAAATAATGTATATATTCCGGGAGACAGTTTTCATATCTAAGTAAATTATGGTGTTTTTTTTTTGTTTTTTTTTTTCTTCATCCCTCTATCTATCATTCTTCATAACGTTTTTCAAATAGGACTGATTTTCGAAGAGCTTAAACACTTTTTAGTTAAAAAATGAGTCAAAAAAGCACAAAATGGTGCAAAAATCAAGTTTGGGCAAAATGACAGTCCAGCGTCAACCATTTGTATACTACTGACGTCGTCACTTATTACTTAAAGTTTTCAGTTTCCGCTTTCCATGAGAACTATTCGCGATTTTCTAATGGGATTTTCATTAAATTCCTTTATAGTTCTTTTCACAATGCAAAATTTCTCTCTGATTCAAACAGATTGAAAAATGAAATCTGTAACAAGAACGTTTCACAGGAAAGGAAATAAAACAGAAGAAATGTAGTGACATTTTTGTATCTCTTCCAATTTCCGTTATAATATTTAATTCTGTTAATAACTCAAATTCCTTTTCACGCGGTATTCTTCAAAGTGAAGGAAGCTGATAATCCTTAATTTGTATGCAACCGCCTGAAATGCGCTGAAAATAATAGTCAGCCAGACGCGACGCGCATTGCTGCACGCTGCGGTAACTTTAATAATCAACTTCTGCCGAATTGAATTTTCTCATTCAAAACTCATCAGCTCTTAGTTTGTAAACTACCAATTATTCATTCATCAAATCCTTCAGACGATTATTCTACAATGTTCTCTCTCTGAAGGCATCTCCGGGAAACTGATATCTTATGCAGTAGTGGCTGTCCTGATTGATCAGAATGTCTTATTTGGCTGGTTCACGATCAGTTGTGAGTTCAAGTTCTGATTTTAAAAAAATGAAAAATAGGCCAAGTAACAACTTATGTTTCTGATTTTTTCTATTTTTTTTAGTTTATGTTAAGCTATGAGAAGAACACGAGAAATAATCAACTCAAAACTGAAAATTTCTCTCAACAAATTTAAAATCAATGATGCAGAGCGTAAGCAAAAAGAATTTTCGCTCAATTAATTGACGCTTAGATTTCCATACGTTTGTGCGGAATATAATCAATTGCTAACTTTAAGGTTCCTATTCCGAAATATGAGTCTCCTAAATTTAAAGAGATATATTACCGTAGTCTGCGAAAAAGACCACCAAGATGAAGGATCAAAAACATAATCTTTTTCCAGGGACATAATGAGTGGCTTGATGCTGAGAGTTACATAAATGTCAAATTACTCAACACTTTCGGTGCAAATGCTTATAGCTCCGTCGAGCAGCAGTGCAAGCATTTGATGAATCTTAGGATGAAATGCCTCATCAAACGATACAAAAATAATTATCGGCTTCACAATGGATCGAAGGTTCCTAGATAGCAAACACTTTTTCCAACAAAATAGTGAATTTATATTCAGTCTCAACGATTCTCTATGATTTTGCACGAAAACATCCAATTCCCGTCAGACGGGTACCTCCATTTAGTAGTGGTTGATATTGTGAGCACTGGAAATGTTAGTTTTGTTAGCGTAATTGTTTGATGTTTTGTTGTTAAGATAAGATTGGTAGAAGTTCCATTTTATGACGATGAGGGCTTTGATACGTTGATCAGCCAGAAAAGTCAAATAGCGGTAACCCAGAAAATTTCTTGATTTTGATTTGGAAGTGCTCTAGCTTTTTCGTGGCCGTTTCTTCAAAGCCAAGATTAAATTCAATCCAATTAATCTACCAAAAACTTTGGCATCGAATAATGGTGATCTGCAGTTTGATCACTTTGGTACAATGAAAGCGGTAACAAAAACTTTGAACAGTTTTTTTCATTTCTAAGATTAAGATAAAATGCCCAGAAACCATCATCTCATGTATGGACTGGATTGGTCTTTCAGATAAAGACTTTTCGCTGAAGCTCTACCGGAACTGTGATTATTGCCCTTTTTTTCATTCTAAACGTAATTCGCCATAATTGTTGAGTTCATTGAATCATTCATTTACAGAAACCATCAACACTTTCTTATACCCAAATGTTAATTTCCAGCGTTATGAGCAAATTAAACCTCTGGCCATCAGAAGATGTTCTGAATATAAGAAACGAGTTCAAAAAAAGTGAGCTTTTCTCCCAACAAAAAAAAAGTATCTTTTTAGGATCGAGCGGAGAAGAATCCTCAAACGAAAACCATCCTAGATTCAACTTCATATGAACCGGTCACATCTGAAACTTTCTGCGAACATTCCTCGAAAATTTCTTTTTTTTTGTTTTTCAAGCTTCTTCTGTCCAAAAGAAAATCGTTTTAGCAGTTTCTTAATAATGATGATTATTTATGAAAATTAAATTCTTCAGAATTCAAAACATTGTCGGTCTAGTCTCACACCGTTCTTTCCATCAACATAACCTTTAGCAAAGTTCAATTTTTGTACTTTTTTGAATTTTTCAAGTTTGATATTTAAATCTATGAAATCATTCATACATAGTATTGTTGATTAATCATGTTTGAGAAGTTAACCAAATAAAACATTCAATGAGTAATGAACACAAAAATAGCTCACTACATATTATTGAAGTGATTAATAGCCGATAATGTTTTAGTTGAAAACATCTTTTATATGTTAACAGCTCTTTCTTCATCTGAATAAAGTTTTTTTTTACTTTCAGAAATAGGGAACAGAAGAGATTTCAGAACAATAGAAACACACAAAACAAAAAAATTCATACGTGCCAGATGTCTTCTGCCTAAATACCAACTAATACTTGGGCAATCATGATTAGATTTTTTCCACTGAAATTCCATTATTCGACAGTTCGATCATGGTACTTCTCCTATTTCATCAGAGAGGCAGACTCAAACATTTTGTTATAATTGGTCGAGGTTTTCCAAAATCTGAGCAATACATCTGTCACTAATGTCTGTCACAAAACAATTATTCGTGTAGATCATTTGATCAAAGGTGTTTTTTAAAAAAATCTAATTCAATGTTAAATATAGAATCTCAAAGAATTCAAGCAAAATTTAGAGATGTGTAATATATGCAAAACCAGAAACACTTTTCGCAATAAATTTGGGCATTACTTCTATTACAGACCCTGAGAAAAAATCAGTTTGGGAAGTTCAGAAAGACATTCATTTCTTTATCTTATGAACTTTTAAAGTACAATCTGTGAACCTGTCATGATCTAGGTCAAACTAAAAACAGTTTTGCCGACCTTCAAAAGAACATTATATTATTATTCTGGGAGGCATCTGAGAACAAAGAGGTTCGGATTGAATCATAAAGATAAAAATTTTGCGAAAAGAACGAACAGTACCTCCTGTATTTAACTGAAAGGACAAGATGTATATCTTCGTTCCAAACATGAAGAAAAAGCAGTCGCAGTCTCAGTGAAACAAATTGTTTCGAAATCCGTATAAAACTTCGAAAATACAAATTCGAGTATTTGCTCGAATGAAACACGAGTTGTTCGAGTTATGTATCCAGAAATAGATATCCTATCACACTAAATATTCGATTTGTAGTTGTTTCGGGTTTAAGAACAGTAGTGTGGAGAACTCCCATTATCTTTTCACCTTGGTTTGCTTGAAACACTCTATCATCTCATCTCATCTAATTTATTATGAGACAACGCATAATCTTGGTTGACCTACTACTTATGTCTGAGTCTCCCTCATTATATTCAAATCTCTTTGTCATTACATTGGCAGCTGTTCGATCTTAATGTCGAACCATCTGACACATGACAAACAACAAAGAAACCATTTTTTTTTGCTCTGCTGCTGTTATACAAATTATTGTATCAGCATTCCATTTCTTCATTAAGACTTTAGTTTCTCGATTTAACTCTACTTTTCTCAGGCTCAGTGACACATTGATTTTCCTTTCTCAAATTGGATGAGAGCGGGGAGATAGAATTTTCTAGCTTTCCGAATTTATTTTTATTGATAACGCCATTTCCCTTTTTCTCTGTTCACTACGGGATTAAAACAGCATATGTTATAATTCTCGCACCCTTCATCATGAGATTTTCATTTAGATGCATTGAAAAGCCAATATTTCCAAAAGGCGCCAAAACGTATTTGGACCAAATACGCGTTGCAACACGCAGCGCGCAGTGCGATATATACGAATTTAGGCTGAACATGAACATTTCCAATTTGCTTACTTCAGCTCTTCCTATTTCTAAGCACCCCACTTCTCGATCTACTACTAAACTTTTTTTTTTGAAATTTTTTTTGATTCCTTAAAAATGAGAGCTGCCTAAGCGAAGTGCGAATTCACTTTCGATTTTGTGATAAGTTTTTGATATTCAATGGCCTTTTTTACAGAAAACTTGATAGTTCTGAGGAATGAGCGGGAAGAAGAATAACTCTGGAGAGGAAAAAAAAAGCGCTGTAAGTTGAATGTCAGAAGCACTGAATGGATTCAGGTTTAAAAAAACTCACACATTAATCTATAGGCTCTATCGGCTCATTGGCAGTGTTTTTCGTCTTACTTATACTTGAACCCTGCTCAGGAAAATGCTGCTGATAAGGAGAATGAAACAACTGTTCTCTACACTCGTAGATATCAATACAATCTTTACAAGGGAATTATGGTAAAATTTGAGAGAGAGAGAAATCGAGAGAGAGAGAGAGAAAGAGAAAAAGAAAAAAAAACTGCAAGTCGAAATCTGTCTTGAAAAAAAATCCTTAAAGTTGTCAGCTGGAAATATCGTTTTTGCTAAATAATCGAAAATTCTAACTTATCTTCTCTGACAGTTATCTTAGAAAAAGTATAAATTTATATTCTTTAAATTTTCTTCGGAACATTAATGAATGCAGGTAACTCGAACTGCAACCATTCTTCGCGAAGAAAATGGCGATGATAAGGCTCCCTTACTGCACCTTCTGACTGTGGATCTTATTAGAAGAGATCAGGTATAACAAAACAACTAATATCTTTCGAAACGTTTTTGTAAAGGTCGATGAGGAAGCCCGACAAACATTGGCACCTGATTTCAATTGCGTAGTTTTCCATGATGCTTACAAAACGGTAAGAGGTTTCGGAAAACGAAGCTAAATGTGAATTTGTAGTCTTTCTACGTTCGTTTCATGAAAGCGACTCAGCTTTTCAAGATGCAGAATTTTCCTCATCTTCTAAAAAACCATTTGGATATCAAGAAAGCGTATTATTTCGGTGATTTGAAAGTTGTATGTTTTCAAAGTTTTGCAAAAAAAAAACATGTTTTCCACCTAGATCGAGAACCCTCATGAGATGCAAGCAAATTTCATGAATCTATCTCTTGCTGATGATTGCACCATGATGGAGGTACTAGTCGGGAACTGAGTTCAGCATTTCTAACTCGGACCGCTGTAATGAAAAAATCGAAGAGTTCATTCATCTAAATCAATGTTTTCTTTCATATTCAGGCATCTCCACAAGACATTCATTTCATAATCTCATTTATCTGGCGAGATATATTATAGTCTACTCGCATTGTTTTTCTCAATATCATTTTAACCCTAATTGATGAATAAAGTTTGTTAAAAACACACTTTGATCTTTTTTTTTTCATGGAATAAAAAGAGTGTTAAGAGTATCAGTTTTGAAACATGAACATTATTGACAGCTGGGTGGTTGTTAGCCAAATAATCAGCTGGTAATCTACATATTTCAAGAAGTGTTTTTCTGTGCTTCCTACAACAATATGATGTGATTATGAGGAATAAAGGATCTACATGTACGACTCGGAGACTTCGAGAGCATACCAAAAACCGTAAAGATACCTCATGTTTCACAGCATCAGCAACGATAAGGTACAACAAAATGTACCTATGCTACTTAGAGTGGTCAGACATATCAATCTAGAAAAAAAACAAGGATCACGAGGAAACTTATCGATTTTGCCATAGATGATAGAGATTCCAAACAAATTTCTAAAATAGAAAAAAAAATTTATGCCGTTCCTCAACCTTTTGTTAGAGATATGATGAAAAAATGAAAATAAATCATCTGTTCCCTTAGCGAAAACATTAAAAAAGAAGGCTGTCAATTTTTTCCGTGAAAAATATTTGATCAAGATAGAAAAATTAAACACAATCTATTGTAATGTCACTAGAAATAACTGCAGGCTTGGGAAAGATAATAACTTCTCGAAATAAGAGTCTAGTACGTGTTAGAGAGAACAGTCTGACACCTGGATTTAATCTAATCTAAAATGGTCTGAGAAGTTTAATATATACAGGAATCGGTGCTCCGTAACGAAAAATTCATGCTTATCATTGATCATCGAATGGAGAATCAGAAAAATTAAAGCATCATGTCTCATGGCAGGACAAAATGAAGGCCAGCAAACATGGATCGATATTTTGCGCTCACAGTTAGTTCCAACAATATCGATGCTAAGAGATCTTTGGGAGAAACTACACTATCGCATGACTGTACTGAACTCAAAAAAATTTGGTTTTTTTCAAACTACTGTATTTTGCGTTTTCAAAATGAATTCTCGGATATCAAAAGAAAAAAATCTTCGAAAGTTCAGCAATAATAAGATGGAAAAATAGTTTTAGTAAAACAGTATATGTGTTACAATTGAAAAAAATGTTAGAAGGAACATTGAATATAGAGTCCGTGAAATTCCAAGAAGTATCAACGCATTTTCCATTGATGATCTTCAAAAATGAATGGTATAAAAACAGAAAAATTAATATATTTTTTTGAAGAATTTGATTCAAATAAACGACTCGACACAATGACACTTCTGGCTTATCAGCAGCAGAATATGGAGCGAGATTCTTACTGAGATAGATCGAAATTTCGGGTTCTCTCGAAAGAACGTCATGAGAAGCATGAGAGCAGTGAAGGCCTAGCCGTGCCAGTCAACAGGCTTTTGAAAGAAGATCGATTTTTTTAGGCAAACATGTTTTTCTTTTTTTCCTCCACGAACATTTTGAATTTTGAAAGTATTTCAAAATTTACATTGTTACATTTTAATTGTTGGAGTAAAAATTTCAGAAGCGAAATTCATCTTTGAGGTTATAAAATCGAGAAAAGAAATAAGTTTCAAAGTCATAAGATCGAGTTTTCGTAACAAAAATAGTAATTCTCAGACATCATAAACTGAAAAACATAGGTATTTGCAGCCAGCTTGGGCAGGAACAGAATGGTAATTCAGTGAATTTTTTTCTTTTTATTTGATTTCTTGGAGAAAGCTAACTGAAGGAATAAATTTAAGAAATAAGAGAAAGTGAGAACGAGGAAACTCGAACTGAGCAGAACACAATTTCATAAATCGCAAAGCTCGGTGAAAACATCATGAAAAATTAAGAGGATTCAGGGAAGTTGATGAAAATTTAAAAAAAAAAATGCTTCTATAGAAATTCATAGCTGCCAAAAACAGCCTTTTTGTTGACGATTCATCAAATAGTAGAATGACTGAATGGATCGAAACAGATATAAGAGAGAAATGATTGAAAGTGTTGCACAGCTGGATAGTTTGAGCGGAAATGGACTTTGGAAAATCAATTCTCTCAAACTAATCATATAAATTCCAAGAGAAAAAAGAGAATAATTTATCTGAAAGTGCACCATAATAAATAAATGGTTTGTTTCCCGAATTTATTTTCCAGCCTTTACAGCAAAGTACAGCCGTGGGCAATATAGTTGGGGCATGGTAAAAAAACTTTTAAAAATTTTCAAAACTTCATACAAAATCTCTTTTTTTAAATTTCTTTCTACTCCTAAACCTCTTGCTTCCCTCAACAATCTTATTTTTGACCTTTTCTTAAAAAAATGATTTCAGAAGTCTGCGTACGTCTCTCACAAGACGGCTGTCCTGATCTCTTCCGTAACGAAAATATCCCTGTACCCCAGGAAAACCCTGTAAAACTAAACTTTTGTTTTTTTCGTGATATGGGCCTGCTCCAACTAAAAACTTATTTTCTTCGCCTGCGGACTATTACTGAGAGGATGCCTGGAAAATCTGTATAGTAAAGGCGGACCATAGCGTGACAGTGAATCAGAAATTTTTTTTCATTCGAATTCAAATTTTTTGATCAATGCTTAAAAGGTTTTTGACATTTCGCTAGAAAATAAAAAAATTGATAAAAAGAGTTTTTTTTTGTATTTTTTCGAGAAATTCTACAATTTTAAAGAACCAGTTTACTAAACTTGATAATTGTTCGAGTTATCGAATATTAATTGTTTGCCTGCATAAAATTATCTACAACAATGCATGATTTGAGTGATTTGACTCAAAGAACAGATATTTATGCTTGCATGATCCCATTTTTTTTATTCTCCATCTCTTGGAAAATATGGACACAATCAGACAAAGTTTTTCCTTCTTCTTTGAAGCGTGCTATTAGCTCACTAACATAGTTTTGCTGAGATTGAAATTTTAATTAATTAAATTTTTTTTGATTTTCACCTCTTTCAGCTTATCTTTCAGCAAATCAATTATTTCCGTTTGAGCAGTCACCTGGTTCTCTAAGTGAGTGTTATATTCCTCCAACTATAAATTTTTTCGCGAATCAAAAGTACACTAGTTCTATCAAACCTCTCTCAAATCCTGAACATTCTGTGTAACTTCAGGTTTCACGCTCTCCATATTCTGAAACAATTGCTCAAATATGATATAAACTGTGCTAACTTCGTATTCGTGAACTTTTTCGAGAGCTATCGAAAGTTTATATTTGGTTTCTTCATAACGTCTTTCCAATTCTGTCCTAAACAATTTTATCACAATAATTTTCGTAATAAATTCATTTTTCACTTGATAGGACGAATCTGCTCTTTCAAATCCTCAATGTCTTTTTCGAGTTTCTTGTTTTTGTCACAGAGCTGAATTGAATCAACATAAAGAAAAAAATCGAAAACATACTTCATTGTTTTCTTTCGTTATTTTATCGATAATTTGTTTTAATCCCAATAATTCTTCGTTCGATTTTTCCGCTTTTTTCTGAGTTTCGTCAGTTTTAAATTTTTCCTCAGTCAGTTTCCTAATTTGATGAAAATATATTACAAGTTCTAAAAATAATACTTTTCGAGTTCTGTTTTTTCTAATTTGAGCTCGTCTGTCAGCTTCTCCAAACATGTCTTCTGCTCTTCCGAAGATGCTAGCGTTTTTTCGAGTGCCAAACAGCTATTCTGAAAATGTTTACGATACCGAGATCAAATTTGTGAAAAATAACCTTCAAAGATAATAGCTTTTCATCTTTTTCGTTTTCGCTTTCAATATTTACAGAGCACCCGCAACTCCTTATAACACCCTGTGAATCGTAAACTTGAAACACTGATTTTCTCAAAATGCTCTACATCAAAAAACTTCTCAATTTGATTCAGTATGAGTAACTCTTCAGAAGATAGGCGACTTTTTTTTTTCATTCTTCTAATTTTTTCAATCAACTGAGCCAAAGTAGGCTGTAAGAAAATTTTTTCATGAAAATTCGAAAAAAATTAGATTTCACTGCACTCAACACAATTATTCAAAATGAAACAACAAGAAGATCGTTCTATCATGATAAGCTACGCGTAAATTTTTTTTAGAAGTTAAAATCACTCTTATTAAATTAAAAATGAAGAACAGCAATCGGAGAAGTTAAATATTCAAAAAAAAATTACATTGGTGGTCTCTTCCATTTCAAGAACTTGGAACTCGAGAAGCTCATTGTGATCTCTGGAGGCAGCTATCTCTTCACGTAGTTCGTCAATTTGACTCTCCAAAAGTTTAACACGAGCAATATAAACATTCTCCTAAAAAAAAGTATAAGTATTGAACAAGAAGAGAACAAGAAGTCACCTCTTCACGTCCTAACATTTTGAAAGACTGTCCTTCACAAGGGATAGGTTGATGAGATTGCTGAAGCAAAACAAGATTGATCATTCGAAAATATAATTTCTTCAAATGAGTGAACTGAATCCGTGAGATTAGGGTGAGGGATGCATTATTGTGTGAGATGATGCAATTTTAACAATAACGTGATATTGAATCATCCATGTGTTATATTCATGCGTAGTAGTTACATATGTGTATTATATGGAGTTGAATCGAAATGACTGCTTATTGATAAACCTGTTCAAAGTTTTCATGAATTGTGTTTGATATAATGATATCATCCAAAGAACATTCACTCCCGTTTGTGCTGAGAATCAAATGATTAATAAACAGTTACTCCAACCATATTTCTTGAAAAACCTTCGGTTGTCAGATTCATGATCTCCTGAGCGACAACAAGTTCGCAATCGCTTATACTTACTGACCAAAAGTTCATATCTTCTATCTTTCGCCTAGAGATATGGATTTTGAGAAGGTATTTACTGAATGTTGCTCTGTACCAAACCAGATGTACGCAGAGCTGTAATACACTTCGAATACTCCAAAATCTGTTGGCGATATCTATCAAGCTGTTCCAGTTTCTCTGCGTTCGTTCTTTTACCTTTCAGTGTAAAGTTCTCTTTTCGTATGCGTTCATGAGCATCTTTCTAATGTTTCAAATGTAACTATTCATCTGGAACTTTTCCTGTTTTTACTTACCATTGTGTAGAAGTCGTCCTTCGCATGTGACAATTGCTGCTCTAATTTTTTAATTTCTTGCTGAAGGTTTTTGTTCCGTCCTTGAAGTTTTCGATTCTCATCAATTAATGGTTTTTGTGCTTTCTCCAATTCAATTATTTTTCTGTTCTACAGAATGAAAAATTTCACTAATTACTGAATAGGAAAAAACATACTAATTCTGCACGCATCTGATTAAGATCAGAATTTATAAGTTCGGTTTCACCTAGTTTTGTTTCTATCTCTTCCAATTTGGATGCCCATCGCGTTCTTTTCTCGGCGCTGCTGACCTAAATGAGAATCAGAACCGATAAGTAAGAAAAGATATTAACTGAAATACGATCCAGAGATTGACCTAGTGGACTCCTGAACATCTCGAGAGATTCCAAACTTAATAATAGGCTATAGTTTATCGATTTGAATAGATCTGTACCTCTGCCTACTGCTGGACATGCTTCTATACAACAATACTTTCTTGAAAAAAACAAAAAAATCTTTCCCCACAACAGTTTGTTGGTCAGTATTATATTTACACCTGAAATATGCCAACAACGTGATTTTCGTTAACAGGTGTTGTCAATATAACGCCCCGCCAATTGGTTTATTACAAACACATCCTTTGCTAATTGAAAACAAAACTTTGCTTCGTGAAGAAAAAAAAACTTTTGATTTATCGCAATCAAAGTCTAATACGTACATCGTTAATCATTCTCTGATTGATCACTAATCAAATCGAATTAGGAAGAAAGAAAGTTGAAAAAAACGAAATAATGAAAATGAATGAGTACGAAATAGAAATGTTCCAAAAACAAAGTTCAAACATTTTGAGAGAAAAAAAGGTTTTTAAGGTCGTGTAAACGCTTTGAACAATAGCGTTTATATCTTCAGATCTTTGACACATTAGAAAAACGTTTTAGATGATGTTTTCGATTTAGTTCAATAATCTTTGAAATTCAAATGAAATGAACAGAAGAGTTTAAACATGATAGGATAAAACTAAACCGGAGGAGGATATGTTGTGAAGAATATATAATGAATTTCAATGAGATATCAGCTGATGTGTGGGTTGTGAAGTGAAGCAATCTTTCATCACATCTTTCTAATAGATCATTTTGTTCAAAGATTCTTAAGAAAACTAACACAAACTTGGAAAAAAAGAAAAAGCTTTATATACATTATTAGGTTAAAGAATCATGGTAACATTCTTCTTTTTATTATTATTATTAATGGTATCCAAACAGAAATGGTTGAAATAGGCAGCCATCTGTCAACAAGTGAAAGGTGTCATTTGCATTTGTTCAATTTCGTTGTTATCAATTTTCTGGAAAAATTTTCTTTCAAAGTTGGAAAATTGAAAAGATATACATTTTTCAGATATTTTGTCAGATCGTTGTTCTCTTCATTGAAAAACTGTTGTGGATTTCTAACTAACAGCATTACCTCTTGACAAGATTCTGAAATTAAATTTGAGAAAAAAAAATTAGAACTTATGTAGATCAAACCTTCCACCACGGCAAATAAGACATAATCATATTTGCCATCAACACTATTTGTTTTTAACGCGCATACTATAAAAAAAAAATAAATTTTGTAATCATTTTTTTATATACGTCTCTCTCCAAACACTTCATTGAAATCGGCTCCTTCAACGGACATTGTTCGATCATCTTCTCTTCTGATATACCCGTTGATCTTAATGATAATTTGTGAGAATCATCGAAATAGATTTTTTTCAAACTTTTCGCAATGGATTGGAGTTTTTCTTAAATATGTTCCAAACCACACTCATCTCTCTGATGTCACGAGGAGAGCTACTAGAAAATGTCAAACTACTGCAAACTTGAGGACTATTGTTTTTTGTTCTTGTGACACTGCTCATCATCTCAGAAACTTTCTCCAGCAGATTGCTGGTAGCAAAAGCAATGGTCCATTCGCCCTGAAATGAATAATAAATCGAGTCCACCACTTAGTATTCACACCTTCAGCATGTTCATAGATAGTTTTTTGCAATCACAAGTAGTTTGACTGAAAAAAAGGTTAATGGGCTTTTACAAGATATCTCACATGATTGGTTCAGCTGGCTTGATTTCGAAATCAACTGAGCGGTCATCATCCTTACTTGTTTGTTCGGGAACGTATGTGGCAAATTGAACAGGTTTTCTCTGAAAAAAATATACTGAGAGAAAAAAAAGAAAAAACTCACAACATCTTCGAACTCCTCTTCTAGAACTCTTATCTCATGGTTATAACTTTTTGGTTTGTCCTAGGAAACAAATGGTGTGAAACACTAAAAATGAAAAAAACCTGAAGCAAAGTTGGTGGAAGTAAAACGCTTTCTGTAACTATTACTGCAGGTTTTGCAGTTGAGGGTCGTGTAGTTACGGTCATTGTTGTGGTTTCAGGCAAATCAGTCAGATTCCAGCTTTTTAACTGAGCATGTAGCTGCTGCTCCATTTCTTTTTTTTTCGATTGGAGTTCTTTTTCCTAATTTTGATTAAAAACATCAGTTTTTGTTCAATAAATAAACCTTTTCTCTCAAAGTGCTTTCTAATTGTTGTTGTTCATAGATACGATCACGATGAAGTTTCAATTGATTCTCCAAGTCCTAAACTACCCTGTTATGAGCTCAAGATATGTTTTCACCTGAAGCTGTTTTCTTTTCGAGAAGAAATCTTTAGTTTGTATCACTTCCTCATAAGCGCTTAGTAATTCTTTCAACCGGCGAATTTCCTGGAAAAACATGCTTAATGGAGTCGGAGAATGTCACTACCTGATAACTACTTGGAGACGGATCATCCATCATTGGTAGAGAGGGATATGTCGAAGTTTGCTGGAATCCTGGAGGGTTTCCTCCAAAACCGTTTCCTAGTTGAAAACATAGTCATCTGAATCATGAAAATGATTACCTTGGCTTTGGATAAATCTTTGAATGTAATCCATGTTATACATAGAACTTGGGTCCGGATTAAGAGGTGGGAGAATGTATCTAGGAGACAATGCAGGTCTTTCGATTTTTTGCTTAATCTGCAGACGTTTTCACAATAAATTTTATGCTATATGTACCTCTTCTTTGTTTCCCATTTGCCTTTGGATTTTACTCAATACCTCATCAGCAATCTATCTCACATTATTCGAGATGTAAAAATCAGAATTTCAAACCTTTTCAGCACTTGGAGGAGTAGGAGATGGTGCGATCGGCTCTTTTGTTGAAAATATGCTTCCCAGTTTTTCAAGATTATTTTTTCTGATGAATGCGTCGAAGTCTACCGGAACTCCTTCAACCAACATGGTTTTTGTAGTTGAAGGCTTACTTGTTGTTGTTCTGTTCAAAAATTAAAAGATAAAGTGATAGTTCTACTCACAACAATCGAAGGAGATTTCTCGATAAATCATTCGGATTTTTCGAATCAGTAGTATTACCATTTAAATCAGGTAGAACTTGGCCGGCAACCTAACAATTAACAACAGATTTGGAAAAAAATTGAGAATCTCGTTTACTTGTAGCGGATCATTAACTAGTTGACTTATCAGCCCATCACCAAGAACGTTTGAAATCATTTTTCTTCAATGCAATAGATAATGAATATAACTATTACAATAAACTAACTGGAACCCGCCAGTTTCCCCATTAAATCCATTGCGAATAACAGATGGCAACTCTGGAAGAGTTGAAACAAGACGTTCGGCTAAAGTTGCTGCTTGATCATCAGCAATTACAAATGGAATAGTGAAACAGAGTATGAATATGATCCTCATTCTAGTCAAAAAAACACCAGCCGTTAATAAATACTCTTGATGATTAGAGACAACACAGTGCAGAGGGGATTGAATATAATGAACACGAAAATGTAACACAAGATGCTATGTAGGTCATACTTCAATGAAAAGAAGGTTGTTCTTCACTTAATTCCAATCTTTCCTTGAACTTATCGGAATAGAAATCATCTTCTGTTTCATTTGACACATTTTATGATTTTGAGTAGAAACCCGTTCGATGATTATGAGATAATAGTTTTCCGATCAGAATTCAGTTCAGTATCATCCATATTTTCAGATAACGTCAAAAGAAGGAGATAAACGATGGGGGAGCATTACTTATCAACCAAAAAAAACACAATACCGACCAAGAAAAAAACAAGAAAACAATAAATCAAAAACAGATCACCGTTAAAGTACATCTACTTTTTTGATTATTGTTCCACTCCTGACCCTCATTATCACCACCGAGCACTTGATTTAGTTTTATTTTTGATAACACTCCAACATTTCAGCCAACCGTCTGTTTTCAGCTCAGTTGTTTTTACTATCTTAGTCTTGCCTGATTTGAAAATAGATAACACTTCTGAGGTATACGGATATACATTAGTGAGTTTGCGTACACCACTACAACTTCATTCATATAACACACATGCCACTCAATTATGATCGTCTTGATGCAGCCCTTTTACTTTATGATATAATTATTCAATATTGCCGGATGCGCTTCAGAGTCGCCTCTTCCCGGATGGAAAAAGCTTCCGGTTCCGTTAATGAAATTTAATGGACGGAAAGGTGTGACTTCCGTTACAATTTATGGAAATAATGGCCAATATTCCTCAATTCGAACAACTTCATCGTCATGTATGGTCTGATCATAGACAATATTGTCACTTGTATTCGAGAAAAATATGGATTGGACGTTTGGAATGAAATCAAGGTTAGTGTAGAATGTCTGGAAACAAGTCAGATTTATGCTATTCAGTACGTGGCTGGGTTATCGCAAGATGCATACGGTATGGATGAAGTCTATTCTGAAGGACTTGCTCATAAGCTGATATGGGCATGCCATGATGTAACTAATGACACGATAGATGCTATTCTAAATGATGCTGGGAAGTCGTTCTACACTTTTCTTGCTAAATATGAGTTTCACAAGGTTGTCAATTATGCGCTCTAACATGGTACAGAATTATTAATGACAGATTGTTCGGGTTCTGGGTCGAACATTTCCTCAATTCTTGAACGGTTTGGACAATCTTCATGAATATCTGCGTTTCTCTTTCCCGAAACTGAAACCACCTTCCTTCTATTGCGAACACGAAAGTCGGACGGGATTGACATTACACTATAGGTAAAAAAAACAAAAAAGACAACAGAAAACTTGTAATTAAGAAGCAAAAGAAGAGGTTTTCTACATTATGTACAAGGTCAAATTAAGAATATTGCGAAAGAGTTGTTTGAAACGGATGTGGAAATAGAACTTCTAGATCATGAACAGGACAATAGCATGGAACATGTGATTATGAGATTACATTTCAACAATATCCATTTTATTCGACATGTAAGTTATATGTACCGATCAGAAAACAAATACTTTGTAAGGATCGATCATATCACAACCAGCTGGCGCATTTGAGTAGTGAAATACGAATCACATCAGACATATTCTTTGACATTTTTCCCTTCATAATAGTGTTCAACCGAGGAATGAGGATAAGGTAAGTTCTGTTGTTGAAAACAGTCATCTGTCACGTATTCTAGAAATGTTGGAATTGGACTATTGCGAGTTATGTCGAATCTCGTTGGAAAAAAAATAAATCAACAATTTCTTCTGATGAGACCATTTATTCGTTTCCGTTGGGAAGAGGTTTGGCTTATTCATTATTGATATTCATATTGATTACAGATTATGCTGCACTCCAATAATATATTTGAGCTGATGTCCAATGATCCGATCATTGATGAAGATGATGAATCGTTTACTTACAAACACAATGATCCTGATCAGAGTAGTTTGATTTTGTTTTCTGGTTTCTCAAAAAACGCTTTAAGTGACGGAGATTCGTTCTCGAATGACAGAGAAAGAAAAAGAAAAGTTTTTAAGCTTGAAAGGTCAAATGTTCTACATGGAGGAATGGGAAAGCATATGCTTCATGGGAATTCCTGTGTAAAAATGAATAAGACGATTGAAAAACAAATTCAACTTGCAGGATGAGTAATTTGGGACAGATGTATAAATCTGGATTGTTTATCAATGACTTCGCTTTGCATGATAGTAGCAGAGATCTGGTCCTAGCGAGCACACAGCAAGCAGCAGAGTTAAAACTTCTTCTACATCAGGTTTGAAAAACAAAAAATTTCTACAAGAAATAGTTTGAAAGGAAGCTCAAAAAAGCCAGAACATGACTGAGAACATGGTGAAGCTGAAAGCAGAACGAAGACGAGCAGATCAACTTCTGTATCAAATGCTTCCGAAAAGTGTTGCAAACATGCTGAGGAATGGTGAAAGCGCAGTAGCCTGCTGTGAAGTAATTCCTTGTTTCAAACAACAGAACAGTTTCTGCTTCAGAATTTTGAATCGGTTTCTATAGTTTTCACAGATGTTGTTGGGTTTACAAATATATGCAGTACTATAGAACCTTTGGAAGTTGTTGATTTTCTTAACCTTATGTACACGAAGTTTGACGGTGTTATTGATACACATGACGTTTACAAAGTTTCTCCAATCTTTATCCCACACTGCAACATTCTATATTTGAAAGGTTGAAACAATAGGAGATGCCTACATGGTTGTATCGGGTGCGCCAAACAGAACTGTTCATGATGCTGAATATGCCATAGACAGTGCAATGTCATTCATACGCGAAGTGCAGAGTTTGGAAGGATTCAGAAAAGAAGTTGTAATCAACATAAGGTAGAGAAGCAATTTTTTTAAAAACTGATGGCTTACACCAAGAGCTGGAGTTCATTCCGGATCGGTAGTTGCCGGCGTTGTTGGTTTGAAAATGCCAAGATATTGTTTATTTGGTGATACAGTAGTGCTGGCTAACGCTATGGAAGCTAACTCGAAGGCAAGTGAAGACACATCGTGACTTACAGTCAGGAAATACGTATACTGTAATTTCAGCCAATGCGAACAAAAGTCAGTCAAGCTACTGCAAGCAAAATTGAGGAATACGAACCTAACTTGTTTAAATTCGAACAAGCTGATATAGTTGAAGTGAAAGTACATCGATTAACCAGTATACACTGATAGCATGAATTTTGCAGGGAGTTTCTCTACAAACTTATCTTGTCTCAGGGAAGAATGGAAACGCTCGTGTACCTACACCACGAAGTGAAATTGTGTCAGACGATGACGAATATGATGATGAGCTAGATGAACTTTCGGTTTGAGGATATTTTTTAAAGACTTAAACTTTTCTTTCCAGAAAAAAGTCAGTAAGGCTCATCAAGAATTGAAAAAGAATAGAGGAAAATCAACATACACTCCGATTTCGGACGCCGAAATAGAATCGTTCTCAAGAGCATCCAGAATGTCAAACATGAACTAACTAAACTTAACATATATCCCTTGCTCTCGTACAATACAAAATTTATTTATTGTTCTGTCGTTTACAATACTGTAAAAAACAACAATATGTCCGAGTAGGTGAAGTCGGAGAAAACAATAACGTGACCGTACAAGTAAAATTGAAAACACAGATCGCTTTTTTAAAATAAATTGAAGGTCCAGCTCACAAATTTTATCCATTCTGTTACATATCCAGAATCATCCCACACACTTTCGCAACTCTTAGAAACATCTGTTGTATGAAATGCGCCCACAAGCTTAAGTTTAAAACTCTATATAGAAAAACCCTTTCTTAACTTTTTCTTGTATCTTTCTTAGAACTTTCAAAGATTGCCTTATTTATAAATCTCTTCTTACCGTAACATTACAACCCACTAACACAGTATAAATACCCACCAGACATTCTGTCTGGGCCTTCGACTATGCTATGACCATGTCCTTATTCTCTCTCTCTCCATGAACCCCTATTCCCCCCTCTTCTCTTTATTCTCTAAATATGGTTAATCCTCGCCCTCCAGTCATGTCGGTCTGTTTCCCTTAAACTTTACACATAACAGTTAATTTGTCTATTATGTATTTC